CTATGCCTGACTCTGCCTCGAGCTTCCTTGGTGCCGCACTACCCCAACTGGGGCCTTCCAGATGCAGCGCCCAACAAGGTGATGAAGATGGTGTCTACCATTGCCAGGTAAGTGCCCCGCCACTCTCCTACCATGCCCCCTTCTTCCTCCTCCTCAAGCTGGGTTGCTCGCCATAGCCAGGCTGAGCTCCCAGCGACCCTTCTCCCTCCAAGCAGCGCTGTACCTCCAGCGCTGTGCTCCAGCAGCATGTCGCCAATCCTTGCACACCGCAAATGAGGAAGAGCTCTTCGCTCTTCCTGAAGATATAGCGGCCTACCGGCCTCCTGGGCGGTGACTTCCTAGGCCGAGTGGCCTCCCAGCAACCGGTTCCTCCTCCCTTTCGGAGGGAAACATCATTGCAGGCTCTGTTATTGTCCGCACAGGCCCTAGACCCGGGCTACTTGGTACCGGCCTACCTCTAACCTACCACTACTGGGCCTAAAAAAATGCCAACTTTTTGTCGTCTTCTGCTCGGCCTACCTGCTACTTGAGTGTTTTTCCTCAGCTGCTTTAAGTGTCGTGGGCCTACCCCCTGCTACCGGCGTGTTTACCCCCCTGCAACCCTCACAGTCACGGCCACATGTAAGTAGCGGCCCGATGGGGCCTTGTAACCAACAAGTACCCTTGCGGGTCACACACACATACCCAACCGGCAAGCACTCAGACAGGCATGCAAACCAGCAGGTACGCACACACACGCAACCGGCAAGCACTCAGACAGGCATGCAAACCAGCAGGCACGCACACACACAAACTTGGAACCACAACAGAATGCGGGAATCACAGCAAGGCATTCATTCCAGTGACAAATCCAAGAAATCAGCAGTGTTCTCAGTCTGTGTTTTTGGCGCGTCATTACAAAAGGCATTTTGTCTGAGTCGTATGTTAAACTCATATATGTCAGATTTAATGTAAGTAAGTGTGTGTAATGTCTGGTTATGTGAGGCTATGTGCTTGATGTTATATTATTTCAATGACTATCCTTTTCAGGAATATTTACATGGGCTATGTATTTGAAGTATGTATTTGAACTTACCAGTTTGCAATGATTTATATGAGCGTCTCAAGTCCAAGTGTGAACTTATGGCTGTTTATTAAAGTTTGTGTGTTTGGATTGCTCTTCAAAGAGGGGTAGAGGTATTGCGCAGAATCCACGTCTGATGCAGATTCAGAGGTGAATGGAGTGACCATTTCCTTGAGATAAGTTTCTTCTCATAGAATGGTCAATGTGTAAGATCTACCCTAAGGAAATGTGCAATCCTATGTTATTGTTCCCCTGAAAGATGGCTTTGAAGAAGTTATAATTTTGTCTTATAAGTAGTAGTGAGACCCACGCCAGAACTCTGTTCCTGGTCCATAGTGGGGTGTCGTTGTTGTATCCTTCGTGATAAAATGACTACACTACTACTAAATAGGAGGAAAGTATTTGAGCCTTGCCAGACCATGGCCTATGAGGGAAGCAGCTACTACGTGCCACAGAGAGGTAGGGGGTGAATCCCCAACTATTTTTGTGTCAAGTGGGTTCACAAGCACAGGACGGGATAGCGCATCCCGGAGTGTGTATGGTAAGGTTGTTTACTTTGTCGGCCAGGGTCTGCAAGGAGCGAGTACTGGAATCGGAGGATGAAGCGGTGAGGCTTGATCCTTGAGCGGGGCTCAGGGATTTGAGATGCTATCGTTTCTAAAAAGGATTACACTGACCTTCGCCACAGTATACCTTGTCAAAACTGGGGAGTAAAGTATGGTACTCTTTCTAGTATTATGTCTGAGAGTGATAATTGTTGGCGGTCTTATCTTTGATCATAACGTGTCTATTGTATGATATGTCTGATAATATAAGCATACCATTACGAGATATTTCTACATGTTTTGGGTAACTGACTAGCTTGAGTATAAGGCTTTTCATATTTATAAGTATTTCTGATGTCAGCCACTAAGGTAATTCCATGAGTTATTACGATTATGAAATTTTTGATATCTGTGAATGTACTATTACGATGATATATTACCATTATTATTTTCTCTAAGCTCAGTGGTCATAAACACTGGAAAGGATGCACTTTAGTGAAAGATGATCTGAAGCTAAGGCTTCAGAGGTACGAATTGTAGAACGCGATTGTCAGTGTGGTAACGGAAAGTGTAAGCTTGACATTTTTCGGTGATGGGAAGAACCCAGACCCGAGCGAAGGCAACTCAGGATGCCTTATGCTAAGGAAGATCCCAGTGTGACCTTGCCCGTCAAAAAGGAAGATGGGCTTGAGGTATCCTTGCCCAGGCGAGTCAAGGAAGGAGAATATATCTCTTCCTGGTGGAGCGCATTGATAGACAAGTGTATCTTCATCTGGATCGAGTCTGGATTTGATGATGGTCAGGATTGCGCGATCGTGAGAGTAACCCTATACCCCCGCCATCGTTTTGGGTCTTACATGGGGTCGAGTTGGCACTTGGGCATGAAAGTTCACTCACGAGACCATTAAGGATAGTTGAGGGAGCTGCCGAGAAGTGGGCTAGAGGAAGGGTCCGTGAAGGAGCAGCAGAGGGTGGTGACAAAGGACCACTTCTCCTTAGGGGAACCCCGAGAAGGCGGACCAGTGCTGAA